GCAGAAAGTATATCTCATAACGACAAAGCTTTTTGGTAAAGTAGCAACGTGTCCTTAGTCGTTCGTGTAGACCCGCGGTTCATGGCACCAATTGTTGGCCTACCCGCCCTTTTGCGAGGCTTGCAACAAGGATTGAAGATCACTTGGCGTGATCTGCTGCTGCTGCTGCTGTTGCGAGGGTGGCGGACCTGTGATTGAGGTAGGATGGCTTTCAGTTCCATCGTTATGGCTTCTCTGTTGTGCACCAACCGTATCAGTACCGGTACCGGTACCTCCATGCGTCGATTGCAATAGAGATTGATGTTGACTCGGTGGGAGTTGCTGCAGCAGCCGCAGCATTTGCTGCACCTGTTGGATTGGTACTGCTGGCTGCTTTGCCTGTGGTGCAGGTTCACTCACTGGCCTGGAAGCAGCTTTGTCGTTTTGTGCCCCCAGAGACACATGGGAAGCCTTCTGGTTGGACGGAAGAGCGGCATAGTGACAGTTGCTTCCTTGAGTGGCAGCTGCATCGAAACCAGCAGTATTGCTGTGATGGTTGATATGTAAACCAGCCCCATCAGTGTTTCCGTTGCTCGGCGCAGGGTTCACCACAGGTACCGGTACCGGTACTAGTGACGATGCGGCTTGAATCCTCCTTGCAATGTCTGGCAAAAGTTGTTCTAACTGCTGCATCAGCTGTTCTTGTGTTTGTTCTTGTGTCAGCGGTGACTGATACCGTGGTTGCTCTGCCTGTTCCTGCTGTAACAGTACGGTCTTACCTTGTGAGGCTGAGGCTTGTCTCTGCCTATCTCTATCCGCAGCCCTTGCCTGCTTCTTCATAAAGAAGACCAGAGGAAACGCCAGGGCAGGATAGTCGAGTGCCACCTGGCCAAGGGCGTTGGAGAATAGAATGGTCAGGTACTGATTGGACAGGTATGATTCAGGTTCTGGCTGTCTGAGCCGTTGGCGCTCCTCGTGGAGTTCCTGATGGATCTTTCCAATGACTGCCAATAGGAGTGTAGCCAGCAGCTGATCCAGCATTTCCATTGTCATGGTATCCTTATGCATACCGGTAGTAGCTTGTGTATCTTCAGCAGACATGGTTATGGTGTTGCTGCTGCTGTTACTGCTTCTTGTGCTGGTGTCATTGGCAATGGTGGCAGCACCTCCATGGATCCACTGGCTTGAGTACTAGTAGAACTAAGTCTTTCAAGTTCTCGCCGAGGGCGCGAGCGTGACCAATTCGATGGACGCAGAACAGCACCAGATACCGGTACGGGATGCCGCGCGTGTTCTCCAGCCACCGACCAAACTTGCGATTCTGCGTACTTGTCAGTACCAGTACGGTACTGGCAACGGTAGTAGTTCTGCTGATGACCACCACTACAAGTAGATGTACCCGTACTAGCTAGTAGTACCGTTCAGTAGGTTGACGCCTTGACTGTTGCTGCTGCTTTTGTCGGGGATGTTGTTGCCGCTGTTGCCGCTACTACATGCCTAGCTAGACTAGCTAGTAGAGCCGTGTGGTATGATTGTTGTGGTTGGAGGGATCAGTCAAGTTTTTAAAAGTCGTTGCCACCGTTCATCTTCTTGTGTTTGGTCGATTTGCTGCTGGCGTTCGCCTTGGGTTCCAGGTTTGGCGAACTCCAAGAGCAGTACTTACGTACTTACGTAGGGAAGGATCGCGTGTCATCAGTTTGGGTCCCACTTCTGTTTATAAAGGAGAGCTCAGGAATTATCAAGCATTCTGGAAGTTTGATATTCTTTTAAATGGGTTTGGAAAGAAGTCAAGCTTCCCAGAAGCCTCCGAAAAAGACCTCCTTGGCAGCTTTGCCGCCTCAGTTTTCCACGTTGTCTGCGGCACGCCCTCTCTCTCAAGCTCGGAACCATAGACCCTCCACATGAACCATCCCGGAGATTTCAACGTGGAGACTTCATTACGATGGAGTCAAAGGAACCACAGAAAGTTCCGAATGTGCATTACAAAGGCACCCAGTACCGGTAAGTACAAATGTTTGTTTGGTGGTTGTGAGGAAGGCAAGGCAAAGCAAAGCAAAGCAAGGAGAAGGGAATGAATCTTTGACAAATCCAGTGATGCCGAACATGTACGACTGTACCGTCTCGCAGGAGAGGACGAATCGAATCTGAATAAGTTGGTACTAGCTAGTACCATACCGGTAGTTGTGTATGTTGGAGATTCCATTGAATCGAATCGTATGGAATCGAATCATTCCAGTTTCCATCATTTAGATCTCTAGACTAGTCTACTTTTGATGTACATGTAGATCGATGTCTCAATCGAGTCCACAGTCCCAGTCCTGTCTTTTCTCTCTTGAAAGACGCACAAAAGCCCATTAGCTAGCTATGTGGTACTGACTACATCGTATTTTATTAAGAGACGGTTCGCGGAAGAACTGGAGGCGGTCGCGCGTTTTTGGCTCGTGCTGGCGTCTTTTCACTTTTCGAATTGGCGCGAAGTTGGCTGCAGCGGCAACAACAACAATCGATCGATCGATCGATCTTCCACCATGACGATGCTCCGGAGACTGATACCCAACGAAACGACGCTCCTAAAATACAAGTAAGGGTTCTATAATTCGTCTATATTACCACTACCGGTGTAGCAACAAGCGCAAGCTTCAAAGGCGGTGTAGTCGTCGAGGAATGGTTGTTGTTGTAGTAGCAGGATTTCCTCCGCCGCTCCGCGAGGTCAACAAGAGGAAGGAGATTGAGCGCCACAGCTGCGGCGTTGCTTAGAAAACACTATGTGGGTGCAACACTGCCGCTGCGGCCTCCAAACTCGCTCTGGTTGCAGCTTCTCTACTGTACGAGTCGAGTCGAGTCGAGTCTGGTGGCTAGCTAGCTAGCTAGTGTCGAGCGACGTCCACTCGGCCTTTTTCTGCGAGGTCAACCAAAGAGATAAAGTGACCCTTTGAGCTTGTTTTGGCTTGGGTACACTACTATTTCTTCGATTGTTGCTTCAGGGGTCACTTTATTGCTTTGGATCACCTTCGTTTCGTGGGATTGGTGATACACGTTCTATGAGCCCCCAGCCTCTACTCGGTGCGCACACCGTCTCTTAAAATACCAGTACGATGTAGAAGAGAAAGATTTCGGATTGATTGGTGTCTGTAGAAGACTGATGAGAAGGGTTTCAGAGAACCCAAACGAAACCCTCAAAGCCTCAAAGAGAAGGGTTTCAGAGAACCCAAACGAAAGCATTATTGTTCCAAGAGAAGCCTATGTTGCCACATCAACGATGAAAATTCTCTTTTCGCGACAGAAGAATGATTTTTGCCAGGTGAGGTTCGATGGTTCCGCAGAGAGGTGACCGAAGGGTTATTTAAAAATTTTGTCGCTCGTCGGTTCAACAAAGAACGAATACTAGAGTAATATGAAGAGTGATGCCAGTGACTGAGTGACTGAGTCAGAACATGGATCTTGAAGAATTAAAGTACTACGATTGTACATGAGAGTCTTGTAGACCGGACATGAATAAGTTCCAGCTTCTTTTCTGATTGCATTCCAAGCTTGAGAACTTCAGTATTGAGAACTTTACACTAGATTTTGGCCACTGACGATTGCCAGATGAGTTGTGTTGAGATCTAGCTAGAGAACATCGGGAGGCATCCATGGTTCTTTCTCAAGTGGATTGTTTCTAATTCTGGCACAAGACAACAAGCAAAGAACCATAACAGCCATCACCACCAAACAGACAACACAATTACAACAACACTAATACTAATACTCCAAGTTGTGTCTAGCCAGCAGCTAGCTACTGTGTGGATAGCTAGACTAGCTATCAATAGCACTCAAGTCAGTCCACCATGGATCCCAACAACAGCAGCAACACCAACACCACCAACAACGCAGCTTCTAGCAACGCTGCTTCTAGCGCTGTGGATCTGAGCAGTTCAGGGTTCGCTCAAGCCTTTCTTCAAGCTCTCGGAATCCAAAATGCCGACAATGGCGCTTCTTTGCTCGCGGCGGCCGCTGCTCCTAGCAACAACAACCACTTCAACAACAACCAATACAACTCTCTCACGTTACAACCACAACAACCACATCCACCTCATCAGCAACAAGCTCCTGCGCCTCCACCACCACCAGCAGCTTCCTTGCCTTCGAATAATTCTTGGAACAACGCGCCGGTATCGACGTCATCCGGTACTCAGTCGGCCGTGCTTCCAGCCGCGCTCCCAGGAATGCCGTCTACTGCGGGACTCAAAACCACGGGATTGCCTCCTGCTTCGTTGGGCATGCCACCCAACACAAACACAAACAGCACCTCCAATGCCAACGGAGTACCAGTACAAGGCAACCACAACCACAACGACACTACTCTCGCCACTCTTTTGGAGCTACAGAAAACCTTTATTCCACAAGAACTACAGACACTCCTGGACGCAAGACAGCGAGGAAATCTTAACAATGTCACTGTACCAGTAGCTGCAACTGCAACCAATCCCGCTCCCCCCAATGCAGCATCCCTCCCGCCACCTGCTGCTTCGATGACGACCGAAAACACCAGCTTTTTCACCACGGAAAGCCTCATCGCGGCAAGCTTTGATGCACAAACCCTCGATGATCAGTAAGTATCTTACCATCAATCGTCTCGTCTTGTTCTTCTTGTCAATCTCTAACCAATTCAATCCAACTACTACATGTACATGTACATAGGGTCGCCGTCTCTATGCTTCTCAAGGAAATCAAACAAGCCTTGAAAGTCTGCCTGCAGAGGATTGCCACAGTGGTCAACAACAATGACGAGAGAGTCCAAGTCATTGACGAACTACAAAGGCTTTCCGATAGAGAAAAACATCTAGAACAAGTTCTCGCACTCAAGACACAGCCGCAGAACTTGACGCTACAGCAGTTACTTGGACAAAAAATGCCTTCCACAAACACTGCCACCGATGCAGACAGAAACGCTGCAGCGGCAAGGCTCGAACGCATCTTGAAGGTAAACCCAGCTGCTTCGGCCGCCATTATGCAGCAGATTGGTGGCACCAATACTGTTGCAGCTGCTACCCCAAGCATCAACCCGCCCACAGCCAATGGAGCTCTAGCGGAGCTGCAGCGGCTCCTACAGCAGCAACCACAAACACATAATGCTGCTGCTGCTGCTGACAATCTCAAGAGACCACCTCCTCCGGCCCCTGTTGCTGCGTTGCCCTCGGCAGCCGCAACCTCTGCAAGTGGCCTGCCATCCACATCCGCCACATCACCACCGGTAGCCTCGCTCAATCCGGCTCCTGCTCCTGCTCCTAGTAACAACCACGCTGGCAATGCTGGTAGTGTCGCTGATCCTATCGCGCAATTGCAGATGCTCATGCAACTGCAACTGCAGCAAGCATCTCAATCGCAGCAAACACCTGCCGGAATCTTCGCAAACCAGCTGCAGCAGCAAAACGCTGTCGCTGCCCAACCACAGCTACATCAACAGCAACATCAACAGCAGCTTGCAAGCATCCCCAACGGCAATGCTCTCTCCAACTTCAACGTGGCTGCGTTGGCGGAGCTTTTGCAACGTCCACAGCAACAGAACCTTCCACAGCAACAGCAACAGCAACCGCAGCAGTTGAACCCCGTTCAAAACCACCAGCAGAATATCTCGCAAGAAACACTCATGGCTCTGCTGGCATTGCAGCAGCCTGCACCACAGCAGCAACCTGCACTCCCGCCACCAGCACCACCACAGCAGCCGCAACTACTGGGGCTAGCCGCTGCGGGCGCGGCATCAGCACCAGCTGCAAATGCTGTCGCCTCAAACCAAGAAGCAGTCCAGCTCCTGACAGGGTTGCAGCAGGCAACGTTGCAAGGTAACCCCCCTCCTGCCGTTGCTGGTGCTGCTCCAGCTGGAGCTGGAACATCCAGTGTCGAGCAAGAGGCATACTTGTTGACACGACTTCAGGCTCGTGCGCAGCCACATGCACCGGCCCAACTGCACAATGCACACCCTCAAGAAGCTGCAGTGGAATACGATGACGATTACGACGATGATGAAGACGAAGAAGATGATGAAGAAGGAGCTTCGTCGGCACCAAAGAAGCGCAGGCGAGGTCGAACTGGTACTTTCCCACAGAAAATGCACAACATGTTGGAAGATCTGGAAAAGGTACAACTAACGGAGCCTCTACATCGTATCGTACTGCTCTCCCAGTGACCCAACTAAGCCTTTGCTTTGCTTTGCTTTGAATCCATCTCAGAACGGGGAGTCCCATATCGCCTCCTTTCTCCCGCATGGCAAGGCATTCGCGATTCATCGAAACAAGGACTTTGTCAAGTTCGTCATGCCCAAGGTAAGTCCTCCGTTGCATAGTTTGTGGGTTGGTTCCCTCATGAGTGGCTACTGTATGAGCGAGAGTCCCTTACCTGATTGATTGAATCATTCTGCTTTCACGTTCTTTCCTGCAGTACTTCAATATGGGATCGTTCGCATCTTTTCAACGCCAGGTAAGCAAAGGAAAATATTACAGTGTCGCACACAACAAGTTGAAAATTCAGTATCGCTGCCTGTCGCTCAACACATGGCTTCGCCTGTATCTCTCAGTTGAATCTATACAACTTTAAACGAATCAACGAGGGGCCTGATCGTGGAGCCTACCGCCACAGAGAGTTCATTCGTGGCCAGCCTCTCCGGAGCACGAACATGAGACGAACCAAGATCAAGGGAGCGGCTGCCAGAAGGAGGGGCCGAAGGTCCAATTGTTCTTAAGGACAGCCACCATCAGTGATTGGGTGGTTTCTCTTGTCGACTAGCGGTACTAGCAGCTAGCTAGTTAGCTGCTAGTATTAGTAGGTTTCAAGGCTCATAGGAGCACATTGGATCATCATTGCAAAGATTGAAATTGGAGAGACCGGCCAATACAAGAACTAGAAAACAACTTCTTTTTTCGACCAGAATGGCGACGGAAGAGCTGCACACATCCATGAGAATAATCAAAGCTGTTGATATTTACATGTACGAACGAACCGGCAGGTTTTGTATGTGGGAAGTGGTACAGTAGTAGGTTTGTACAGAGTTCTACACAGACCGACCGTTAAATACAAAACCAGCCGTTAATCGTTCCCTTAAAAACTGACCTGCTACTTAGGGCCGGCTGTGCCCCATCGGTCTCCGGCCTGACTAAGTAACTGACCATCGGGCTGTCGGGCTTGCGCCCTCTCTTAAGCCCTCGGTCAGTTACTTAGGCAGACCTCCGACCTTGGGTCCCTGCCTCAATCCCTAAGTAAGCCGGTCTGTTTTTAATAAGACTGTATTCTCGCAAGTCTTTTGCGTTTGCGCTAGAACTAGAAAACAACTTCTTTTTTCGACCAGAATGGCGACGGAAGAGCTGCACACATCCATGAGAATAATCAAAGCTGTTGATATTTACATGTACGACTGTATTCTCGCAAGTCTTTTGCGTTTGCGCTGTTCTGAACCGTACGGAGTTTTCGCCCAGCAGCAGGGTGCGGAAACGAGATTTAACGGTCCTGCGTGAAACTACTATTAATAGTTTCACGCAGGCTTGCGTGAAACGGGAGAAGTGAAACCTAATTTGCGATTCGATTCGATTCATTCCCAGCTTTCCTTTTGAAAACGGTGAAACTACATAAGCCAAGACCTTACTTACTTGGGGGACATTTGCTGTCAACTCCAAATAGCACCATGATGAGTACCGTATGTATTCATGATTCCTATTTGGTGAAGGAGGCTCTCGGAGTCTACCAGTAGTTTTGGGTGAGGTTTGTGACAAGGTTCTTTTCGTGCGTACCGGTACTGGGTGATTCGATTTCATTCGGTTCTGTGTTCCAGTGACTGTGGATACAATGTCTCGGAATGTCCAATGTCCAAAATATTATCACACTACAGCTGTGATCTTCGTTGATTCCACTTTTAGGTCAAGTGGAGCTACTAGACTATAGCAAGATCATGTCAATATGGGTCTATAGAGGTTGTAAACCTCCCCTCCAGACTAGGATCCAGGCAAAGGCAATGGCCCTGGT